ACACACACACACACACACACACACACACACACACACTCAAACATGCAAGGACCTTTCTCCCATAGTAGTCTTTTATGTAAGAAATATTCAGAAATAGGACAAGGTAACCTGGGAACTCTGACTTGGGTTCTCTCCAAGACCAAAATATTAAAACCTAGGATTTGGTCATATCCCTTCAAACCCCTTCCAGGTAAATATGAATTTAAGAAAAAGACTCCATTATCTATCGACTTGCTATGACAATAAAGATGTAGACTAGGCGGTAGACAGGAGAGACCAGAGAACACAGAACACGAGGATCTGCTTGGCACCCAGTGAAGGCCTTCTTACTGCATGGAGGATATCATGTGCCATAGCAGAACAAGCACGTCAGCGCCAGGCCTCCTTCTCTTTTCTGAGGTCACACTGTAGCCACCGTGAATGATATTCCATATTGTAATGGAAGAAGCATGTCAGCGCTAGGCCCCCTTCTCGTTTTGAAAAGCCACTGTGGGATGTTTTTCTGCATATTGTGAATACGCATTACTCTCATCAGTTGATGAATAAAGTCTCTTTGGTCTATGGAAATTCAGGATAGAGCCAGGTGGGAAATCTGAGAAGAGATACAGGAGACAAAGGGTGGAGTCTAGGGGATACCAGGCAGTCACCTAAGATGCAAGACATGTAAAACAGTAAGGTAAAAAGTCATAAACCATGTGGCAAAGCGTAGATTAAAATGTGGGTTAAATTAAATATAATAGCTAGCGAACAATAGGCTTATAATCAATACAAGCCTCTGAGTGATTATTTGGAAGTGACTGTGGGACCAGGCAAGACAGAGAAAAGCCTTCGTTCACATTTGGTGCTCCAATGTGCTGCATTTACATCCACATAAGACCTGAGAAAGCTTTGAAATGTTCTGAATGCACAGAACCAGAGCTGCACTGGGCTTCCTACTCTTACAGTCTCATGCCAGCAGCAGCACAGAGGTGTGTCTCCCAACAGCTGCCTGCAAATGGAACCAGTTGCCTGTCACCCTGAGCTAAGTTGTGTGGTTGGTTTTCAGAGTCTCACACTCTGCAAACAGGCCTCGGTACAGAAACTAATTAATCACACATTGTGTAATGGATTTAGCTTTTGCTCATACATCAAGAGTCTAAAAGATGCACAATAAAAAGAGGTCCGGACAGAAAAACCTACAAACAATGTGAATAGACTTAAGAAAAAATTAAAAAGGGTATCAACAGTTATAGAAAGGAATCAATCGTTTAAAAGATAATGTAATAAAGTCTTTGAAGAGAGAAATAAAGTAAGAAACAAGTCATTTAGAGATGGGAAATACACATGGAGTCTGGTTCCTGGATTGCATTGTGTTAATTTTGAATTTTTTGAATGCTGACAAGGAAGCAACAGCTGCTGAGAGACATGGGTTTGAAAAAGAGACTGACAGAATACACCAACCTAAATACTTCTAAAATGCTTTGACTTCGAAACAGAAGTAGCAAAATACCGTTAATGAGGAGGCAAAAATCCAATCAATGCTCACTGTATTCCTCTATGGGGACATACGTGAGGTTTTTGAGGGTTTATTTTACTGCCCTCTTTTTGGCTTTTTGTTCCTTCACTCCACATTGCCTGTCACCAATTTCCTCTCTTCTTATTTTTATGAATCATTTGGTTATTGTGTATTTCTTTCTAGCTTGCCCATGTTTATAACTTTCTTTCCCTACAAAATTCTACTCAGCATCTTCAAGATGAGAAGCTCCCTTCTGGTCATTTAGAAACCCCCACTTAAGTGTTTATCACTTTCTGGCCTTGTTGTAGAGATTATGTGGGTCCTTTTCCAAATAACTCTGTTAATCAGAATCTGTGTCAGTACAGACAAAGTCAGCAGTGGCAAGGAGGGCATTTTCCCAAGAGTCCTGGAGTCCACGGGGATGAGCCCAGCTGGGACCCTGGGCAGTGGAGGAGAGGGTGCCTGAACTGGCTTTGTCCCATAATCAGACTGATGACTATTTTGAATATCACCATAGAACCTTTGTCCAACGAAGACAGAGACCCTGTCGGAACACTGGAGCTCCCAAGGTCCAGTTCAAGAGCAGAAGGAAGGAGAATATGAGGAAGGAAGTCAGGACCAAGAGGGGTTGGTCCACCCACTGAGACAGTGTGCTTGAGCTAATGGGAGCTCACCAACTCCAGCTGGACTGGGACTGAACGAGCATGGGATCAAACTGGACCCTCTGAATGTGGCTGACAATGAGGGCTGACTGAGAAGCCAATGATAATGGCACTGGGATTTGTCTCTACTTCATGTACTGGCTTTTTGAGATCCTATTCTATTTGGATGCATACCTTCCTAAGCCTGGATGGAGAGGGGAAGGCCTTGGAGTTCCCACAGGGTAGGGTACCCTGCACTCTCTTAGGACTGAAGGGGGAGGAGGAAGGGGAAGTGGGGGAACAGGAGGGAAGTGGTAGGAGGGGAGAAAGTGGAAATTCTGATTCCTATTATTTATAAAGTAATAATTTAAAAAATAACTACCAGAGGAGCAATGATACTAATTTTCAGTCTGCTTAGAGCAGGGTTGAAGTTGGTGTTTTCAAGACACTAAAAGACTTAAAGCGCACCCTATAACAGAAGCCAAAAGGCGGAGCTAATTCTTAAGAAAATGGAGAGGTTTCCTTTTCTTCTAAGCTGCCCTGGAGTTTCCTATACACAGGCTTGGGTCAGCATTTTGGGCTTAAACAGCAGCACTTCCAACAGGACAGAAGCAAGGCCATCAGAAACATGCTTCCAACTTCTTAAAATGACACCTTAGTTGCCTCTCAAAACTGTGGCCATGGGAGCTGAAGGATGTGCTCCTGCCAGGCAGAACACAGTCAGTGCGCATGTTTTCCAAAGCTAACCTGGAAGTGCACTGGGACTGGAGTGAGGACCTTTGGTCCCTATGTTTGAAAATCTCATAGATTTGTCAGTCCTGCCTGTTAGGCCCTTGTGACTATAACCTTTTTTTATTTTCAAAAAAGAATAGAGAGAGAAGTAAAATGTATCAAGCATTTACTCCGTAACTTAATGTCGTTATCGAACTTGTTCAAGGAAGCCTCTTTGCTTGATGGGTTCTCTGGTTAATGCAGAGACTCATAATTACCAAGTGCTGAGAGTTAAGTGATCACTGACTGCTCAGCTTTAAATGACCTCTGTCAAACATACACACAGGCACACAGAAGAGAGAGAAAGAGGGGAGAGAATACTCAGAGGTGGATAGTGTTGGAGCCCATGTGGCTCCAACACAAATATCCATTTTCCCTAACTGGACTGGTACGGAGTCGCAAGGAATAACCAGGCACAGCTTACACCATTATTACGGGAAAGGGCATCTCAGGAGTCTTCCTCCTGAAGATCTCCCGTTTAAAATCCAGTCAGCTTTTATAGCAACACATAAATTGGGGGAGGGGGGAGATACACCAGCATTCTGTCACCTAGACAACCAGGTGGATGGCCTTTTGTCATGTTCACATCTACCTGTCTGCGGAGTATGTTAGCTGTCATGTAGGCTTGAATCAGCAGCTCTATAAGGCATCCTCTAAATTACAAAGAAAGGGAGCAGCCAACATACTGACCTTTGTCAAGCAGAGACAGGCTATCTGCAGGGCAGACACTTCGGATCGGCCCATGGACTTCAGAGCCTGGCTGCTACACCAATAAGAAATATGGGCCTACAGGATAGGAGGACTGAAAGAATGCAAGAGCCAGAGGAGAACAAGAGCGCTGTGAGTGCCATGAGACATAAGACATTGTCTTGATGGCTGTGACACAGCCATTGTACTGCCAACCCCCCAGCAGCTGCGACTACCTTCCAGGCTGCTCACAAGCTCAAGATCATCAGACACGCAGTGGGTGGTGCTTGTGAAGCCTCCATCTATGACTGAGAAACTGTTGGTAATTAATGGCTACTGATAGAGTCATTTTCCTGGGAGGCGGTAATGGTAAATAACTAGTAAATAACCCTGGAGCCATGTTCATGCAAACGACCCTAATAAAACTCAGTGGGT